CTCCCCTGAAAAGATCAGCTGCTTTTTTTTCACCGATTTCTTCCTTCCCTCCCCAGTTGTTTGCAGCATGGGGATAAATTCTGCCTGTAGTCAAGAAGCTGCCGTTGCACATATAACCGGAGAGGTATTGGGGGGTAGTGACTATCTCCTTGGCCAAGGACAGCAGCTAGGACAGCCAGAGGACAGGGGGGAAGCAGCAGACCCCACTGGTGGCTCTGATGTGGACAGAGTACCTGTTGCCTGTGAAAAGAAACAACTCTGGGGGCTGGAGATGGGCAGTGCCAATGGAAAGGAGGGTGGAAAGGGGGCTTGGTGGGAACTGCTCACCAGGCTGGGTGTGAGGGACCCAGGGGCTGGGCACTGCCGTGCAGCAGCTCAAACATGTTGGCACAAGAGCCAGCTGCAGCATGCCAGGTACTCACGTGAGCATGCCCCAACGCTGCTTCTGCTGGGATGGTGCACCTCTCTCTCCGGGATTCAGCTCCCATGGAGGCTGTTAGTGCCAAGGGCCACATACCTCGGTCACTGCAAACTAGCTGGCCCAGCAGTTGTGCCATGACCATCAGCACAGGCTGCAAGAGCCCACAAGGGACCCTGGGCTCTTTCTTAATTGCGTTCTCCTGCCAAAAGTCATACTGCGCCTTTCGCATTTTCCTCATGCTTGGGATGTAAATTATCTTGCACTGATAATCATTCCCCTGTCTGCAGACTGCTGAAGGAAGCTGGTGTGTGGGACCACATTGTCGCTCCTCCCTGCTACCTTTTGGATCCACTGGCCAGTTTCAGCCAAATTTAACCAGATAGGTAAAGACTTGAAAGAAGCTAGGTGTGCACGAGCTTGTGAAAAGCAGCAGGCGAGAGGAGAGAAATCCAAATTAGGACTCCCAGCTGGAAGAAAAGGCTCTAATGTGAGCCCAACCCGATTATTAGACATCAGAGAATCCACACAAGAGAGAGTGCCCCAGGCAATCAAGCTTCATGAATTCTGCTGCTCGCAAAACAGCTGTTTATTTAGGTGCTGCAAAGCCTATGAGATCCTTTCTGGGATCCCAGCTCACACCCCCCATCTGACCCACCAGAGCTGTGAATCCAGAGAGGAGCAGCTCTGCCCAGTGTTTGAAGGGGCTCTAATCCTGAGCTGTTTGACCCCTGTGAGTCCTCATCTGCACCTTACTCCACCTGGATGTTTGCAATGAGGACACTGGCTACATCACCTGAGTGCTGGTAGTCCTCTGATGCCCTTTCCGTGATTCCCTGTGGGGAACATACATGTTATCCTACAATTGGTAAAATTTGTTGGGAAGAAGTCCAAGAGCATCCTGGCATGAATTGCTGGGTGAGGGACAGTGTGCCCTGCTGGATGCAGGTGAGGAGCCCCGGAGCTCAGCAGGACATGGATTGCTCGACTTCTCTCTGCCCTGCAGCACAGCACTGCCTCCCATGCTTCCTCCCTCAACCTTTTCTCTCCTACCAGGCAATTCTCATTCACCAGCAGACCCGTCCCTGCACTGATCCGAAGATCTTCTCACTCCCCTGCCCAGCACCCTGCTGGTCTTTCCCTTCTGGTGCCTGAAGGTGAGCACTGAGGGCAGCTTTCTGCTCTGTCTGCAGCCTCTTTCACTCTGTTGCCATCTGTCTGCCTTGTGCTGCTCCTTCCCGTCCCTCTCCTGTGTTTGGAGGCAGCGTAGGGACACAGAAGACAGAGAATGAACGAGATGATCAGGGCATGATCCTCCCTCGTAAAAGGATGGCTGACCAGGATGCCAGTAGCTGTGCCACAAAAATTCCCTGCAGCAGACATTTATTGAATGCAGAGAGATACCTGCAAGCAGGCAGAAAACCTTCAGCTCCCAGATCTGTTTGCCTTTGGGAAACCTGCCTACAGCAGCCCAGGTCCTCTGCTACGTCCACAGTGCCACACAACCTGATTCAAAGCCAGCCCCTGGTCTGGGTTGCTCAGGGTTTCACTGGAGAAAAGATTAACCCTTGAGACAGGCATGTTTGCCCAGGCTGGTCTCATTGCCACAGTGTGCCCTTGTCAGCTCTCATTATGCTCCCAGCACAAGGTCCTACCTCACACTCCAGACTGTCTGCTGGAAACTCATTTCTGAAAGCTCTTGCCATTGCAACACCTCTGCGGAGCAGGCGGCTGTACGTGAACACTGCTTGCAGCACCTGCGACAACCAGATACCAGGCTGGGGACACTGCGCCTGACAACCTGAGCCATACGGTATTCATGGCATAACCAGCTGATCCTGGGCTGCCTGAGTCACAGCATCTATCCAAGTTACACCCTGGTCAGTCCAAAAGAGTCCCACAATGTAAGAATATTGAAGTAGCCACGCTTGGCCATCTCTCTATAATCTCTCTCCCAAAATGGCCAGTTTTGATTGCTTAGTGGAGGAGGATAAGCAACAAGGTACATGTAGCATGCTCCTTCTCCTACTTTCCAGCATCGCTGCGAGAACATGGTTGTTCTTGTGCTGTTGTGTTTAATAACCTCCACTGGACCTACCCATCCCAAATGGATCGAAACCTTGCTTGAAGCCGAGCACACTTTTGGCCTCTGCAATATCCTGTGGCAATGTGTTCCAGAATTTAATTATGCTCTCTATGTGGAAAAAAAAAACCAACCCAAACTTCCTTTGGTTTGTTTCGAACCTGCTGCTCGTTCGTTTCTGAGCTACAAACCTTCCTAACAGCCTTTGCAACCTGCCCCTCCCTGGAGCTCCTTCTTCCAAGAATTAGGAAAGAAAGTTTCTTTAGCAAAGAAACCAGTACCTGCCCCATTGCCAAGGAAAAAGTGTGGTTGAGAGAAAAATTGCTTGCTCAGCAAATCAGCTTGCTAATAGACAATGGAGTATCAGTGTTGCCAACCCAGTTTAAAAAAAAGGGGGGGGGGCTGAGGGGATTTAATCCTCTTATGCTTGCACATGATACAGAAGAAAGCCCACTACTGCTTGAGGTGCAGCTGCACTTGCATACTCCACACGTGGCAAAAAACAAAGCGAGTTGTGCGGAGCAGGGAATGCCATTTCTGAGACATGGAGGTAGCTGGAACGATCCTCTAGGACTTGCCTTGGAGCAGTTGGCAGGAGCGTAGGATGCAAAATGCATTAGTTTCTAACAGATGTTTGATTCCAGGTGTTACGCCTCCTTTGAACTCTCCCTTCGTACACGAATGATGCCTGTTTGTTTGGAAGGCTGGGAGACGCGCTGGTTTCTGAGAGCATTAGGATTTGAAACACATTCATGGTGCAAGCTGTAGCAAAGAGAAAGGCTCGAGAGAGGAACAGAACCTGCTGTGCACTCCCCTCCGCGGGCAGGGCGGTTGGGCTCACTTTTGCAATGTTACGGAGTACATTAGAGCAGCAGAAGCAGAGGCTGAAGCCCCTGGCTGGGTTAGAAACCTCTTGCCTGCTCAGTCCCTCAGGAACCCCAAACATTTATCAGACAGGCGGATGTCCCTGAACTGTTCCCGATAAGTGAGGTGCGCTGCATATTAGGAGATGATAAGGGTGCACAATACCAAGCCCAGTGATTTTGCCTCCCCGAATACCAAGACAGCCCAGCCTTCCTCAGGAGCCTGATACAGACTGTTTGCTTTCCGTCCCGCAGCTCCGATAACCTCCCAGGTCTCTCTAGCTGACAGCCTGGAGAGCTGTGGCAGCTCCTTATGCGTCCCATGCCCACTCTTTGCTCCCTTGAGTGCCAGATCTGTGCCCTCCTGCCTGGATCCAGGGCACCCTGTGTGAAGCAGCAGCCTGTTTGCCACAGCCCTGCCTGCCTCAGCAAAGCCTGCCCAGCTCTGGCCACTGCACAGCCACAGTTTCCACGCATCCTGGAAACTCTCAGCCCTTCGCAGCAGCAAACCCAAATGAGCAAAAGCTTTTTTTTTTTTTTTTTGAGTTTTGTCCAAAGCAACCCGTCCTGTGACAGCTGATCTTTGCCCCCCTGGAGTACTGCACTCCACCAAGTCTGCCTTTAATTCCCCCAGGGAGGCTGATTAGCTGATAACTGCTGTTTGGAAGAGCCCCATTTGCTCCAAGGTGCCCAGGCCTCCCTCCCTGTGTTTTCACCTCTTTTCTCAGCGCTGCACATGTACATGGGAAATCATGCCTGCACACCATGAACTGGGGTTGGGCTTGCTCTGGGATTTCATCTTATTTTGCCATCTGATAGTGAACAAAGTTGCACTGACGCAAACATGCACACTTTTACAGGCGCGCTCCTGTGCAAAGCAGGGATGGTGGCTCTCACTTCAGCTCTCTGGCTCTGCTGCCTGCCATGGAGGGAGACCGGGGCAGGCGAGGAGCTCTTGCCTGGCCGTACAGGGAGGCAGGGCCGGGAAATGCCAGCGCTATGGCTACACTCAGGGATCCCCAAGGTACAGCCAAGTTGGAGAAGATAATGGAAGTGGCTTATTGGGGAACACAGAGACAGAGCTCAGAGCGGTACTGCCGCACCCCGGTTAGCGAGGTTGTATATGGCCAATAACCGAGCCTACAGGCAGACGCCATCACTGCTCCTAAAGCAGCACATCCATTTACTCCAGCACAAGCATGGTCCCTGCAGAAATCCTCCCCCATTCAGACACCTGGAGCACTCCTCTGTTCAGTCCCTTCTCACCTGCCTTGCTCAGCATTGTGGCTTTCACATTTGCTACCTGGAGCCCACCTGCTTGCACTGACTGCAGCGCGATAAAGTTTCCCAGTTAAGACCAGATGCAAACTCCATGCAAACACAGCTGAAACTTTTCCTGTCTCCTTCCATAACCCACATGCTAGGGCTGCCAGAAGTAAGGAAAAGATGAAAGGCTCTCTCTTTGCATACCAAAGCCCTATCTTTAGAATAAGGCTGTTTCCAGCAAAAGTTACGCACATGCAAAAGCAGTTTCATGACTAAACCTCTGCATCCTCCATGCCTTCCTCCATCCATGCTCTACAGACTGCTCACTGAGTCATTTCAACACCCCACACCAGCAAGCAGCGTGGCTTACCTGTTGCAACAGGAGAGAGACCTCTCCTGAAGTTTACTGCCTCTCCGCTCTTACCGCTGAAAATCCTCTCCCACAGCAGCACCTCGCTAGCTGCCGGGGATCCATGGTGCTTGCAAATCAGAGGAGGCTCAGAGAAATTCCTGCAAGAAGGGATTTTGCTGGCTGAAACTCCGGCAGCACAGGTTGAGAGCAGCGACGGAGAAAGTTGCAGGAGGTGGAACTCCCTCTCTGAAGAGCCAGCCCTTCCGTGACAGACTGGAGGAGGAGGAAGAGGAGAGGCATCGCCCGCTCCCTCGCTGGAGAAGTGAAATTGTGTGTGTGTGTATGTCAGAGCTGGGCAAGGACCCAAGCCTTAGAGCCAAATGATTGCAGAGCTTTTTACTGTTAGATTAACCAGTATTGCCATGAAATCCAGGACCTCAACTGCAAGGGGGGCGAGGTGAGGTACAGAATATGTCAGGTAAATCCCTCCAACACACCTGAAAAACCCAAAGACTGTTTTTAACTAGCTGCCAGGTGGGTGTTGCAAAGAGGGATGGGGAGAAGGAGGTGGGGGAAACCTGAATCTGCCCTCAGAGCAGCTGCGTGCGGAGAGGCACTTTGAAGGTTGTTGTTGTTTGTGTTGGGAGAGCCCCCAGAAACCCCAGCTGCTGCCAATAAGCCCCAGGGTGCTCGGTGCTGTACAGGCAGAGGATGAAAAGGTGGTCCCTGTCCTGAAAAGGCAGGAGGCAGAGGAAAGAGAGGGATGCAGCAAGGAGAGATGGCAGCACAGGGAGACCAAACGTTGTACCAGAGCTTTGGGGGATTTTTCTTGGCAAAGAGCATTCTGACTCTGGGGATGTTGTTTAGGGCTGGAGCAAGGGGAAGGGACATGGACCCTTCTGTGGGTGTTCCTTGTCACATTGGCTAGAGCATGGGCAGCCTGTGGGTAGTTTCAGTCCTCTTTGTCCCAGTCCCCTTCTCCGTCCCCTCCTCCTTGCCCCCCAATCCTCAGTAAATGCTGACATAACCCTTTAGGTTGCAAAGGGATTTGAACAGATGCAGGGGTAAGTCTCAATGTGAAAAATCAATGCTCAGGTTTACGTGAAGCTTTTCCCCCCTGTGGTGCATTTTTGAGAAGGAAACAACTAGAAAGCTTTCTGTACAGTTCTAGGAAAACAAAACCAAGTAAGGAATACGAAAACTGGACAATTTTAACTTTAAACAGTCTGAATAGGTGCCTAACAGCTCCTCTTGAGGCTCCATGCAGGAGACAATGATGGAAGTGAGCACAGGAGTGGGTAGAGGGGAGAGGCAGATCCCATTAACATCCCATTTGAGGAGTGTTTGGTGCAAACTTGCACCAGCAAATCCCCCAGGACAGCAGGTTATGAATCCTCCAGTCACACACAGAGCTTTGACTGGAACTTGTCTCAAACTAGACACTATTGAATTAAATCACATGGTGCACATCCAAAAAGATGTGAAGAGGTTGACCTGTGATATATTGGGCTATTTGGGGTTGTTGGTGGAGGTGAGTGAGAGCGATCTGGTAAATTCACTAGAAAAAGCAGTTTCAATGCAATTGTTCAGCATTTCAAATTAAATCTAGTGTATCAAGAATGAGAGAGGAAATTTGCACGGCATGGTATGACTGAATGATCTCCCTGGAGTCATCCTGGGACAGTGCTGGGTTGGGAAGTGATCTGCTAGCTTTTGTGCTACAGATGTTCATGTTGGGGGCTCTCCTCACAGCGTCTTAACTCCACGTAAAAAATGGCTTTGATTTGAAGCGCATCATCGCCTTTCAGAAATCATTTGAAATGAATGAGAAAAGGGCATAAATCCAATTTGATTTACATGTGCAGATTGTCCCTTTTTCCAGCTGGTTTAGTCAGATGAGTTGTAGCGGAACTTGCAGGCAAGTTTTGAAGAATGTAAAAGTGATAGTAGAAGTAACAGTACCTTGAAATTGCAGGTGAGCTCCTCCTCTTTCAGATGTCTCGTGAGAGGAGGCCAGGTGATTAGTCAGTAATGGCAATGGGAGGTGCATTTGGGAGGAATGAAAGGGAACGTTCCTTCACCCAGCTGCATCTCTTGCAGCCGTGGAAGGCGAGAAAATCAGGTATTGGTGGCTGGATTTCAGTGGGGCTGAGGCAGGGCTCAGAACAATACTTGTATTATATTTAGACATACCAAGGCACAAATGAGCAAACCTCTGGCTTCAGGGCATCAGCTGATTGCTACAAGAACCAGCATTTCCCTGTGTTTGGAGCCTTTCACAACTGGCCAGGTGCCTTGCCTCTTTTGCCTGCATCTGGAGCAGCAGGTAACCCTGGAGGCATTGAACTTGGGGACTTGGTCTCACCTAGTGTAGCAGGATGTGAACTCTCAGCTAGCAAGGCTAACAGTGCTGACCTTCAGCAAGGCAAGAGACTATCATGCCACCCACAAGACAGCTCTACTCTTTGCACTGTCTCATTGCCCTTCCAGAGGCCCTCTTTTGGTCCCTTTTCTTTGCCATGCTTTGCTGATCAAATGCTGTTTGAGGAAGATGGTGCTCATGAAGAGCCATGTATCAGACAGATGCTGCAAAAAGGCTTGGCATAAGCTAGGGGTGGTTATTACCTGATCCTTACAAAACATCTACAAATGCCCACTGAGTGCAAAAGCCGCTGACAACTCCACCTCCTTGCCAGTAGATTGGCAGCACTGGGTCTTCCTTTCCACAGCAGTACCAGTCTTGTTGGCTGCAGGAGGCTGCAGGGGACTTAGAGAAGACTTTGTCCCCTGGCTGTTGAGCAGAGTAACATCATATTAGCTGGACAGATGTAGTTGGAAAAAAAAATAGACAGGCTTTTTGGGGACACAAGTGAAGGAGAACTTGAGTGTCCAAAAGCTTGACTATTTTTCAAATTGTACCTGGTGGTTTAATAAGAAATATTGCCTCTCCCAATTAAATCATGGCATTGGGGTGAGCAGTACTCTACCTACAGAGAAGACACCCCCAAATCCTCAGATTATACTTGACTAGGACACTACAATGGACTCTTTCCTTCCATAGACAAACATGGGCTTTTAGAGCCCATTTGGATCATTACTATCCCAGTGATCCAGGAAGGGATAGAAGCACAGGAGAACTGGAACTGGTAAAAACTGTTTGGCTCTGCCTTCTCAGCTCTCCTACTCAACTTGAAGACAGGCTAGGTTGGGAAGAAAAGTGTCACGTTTGTCCCAAGGAACAACTGTTCCTGCAGAAAGGGGTGGGTTGCAGAATTACCCGTTGCAAGCAGAGGATCGGCTTGGCTTGGGGAGCTGCACCAGGAGGAAAGAAAGAAGGAAGGTGGAGCCATACCTGATGCCTGTGTACCATGTGCTGTTTCACACTGCCCAGACAGTCAATCAAACAAGCCAACAAAAGCTCCATAAGCTGGTGTCAACATTTCACGACACCACGTCCTGCTGCTGGGATCTCGCCTCGTTGGATGCAACAGGCCCTTTTCCAGGGTGCGGGGAATGTTAGAGCTCCATCACTTGGCTGGCAAGGACGCTCCTTTCTCCCTAATCATAGGGAGAGATTTAATTTCCTGGTTCCGCCCAAGATCTCCATTTGATAAAGCCAAGACGTTCTGCTGTGGGTTTACTGCACGCAAAGAGTTTTGCAGAGAAGCAGCATGTTCGGGCTAGGGCAGGGAAATCACCACGGGCCTCTCTGGACCAACAAGAAACACTTACAGGGGCCTCACTGCCAATAGCTATACCTACTCACTGCCCTGAGGACCAGATCTGCCTGCCTCCTGAACACATGCCTGCAGGCCCATCTTCCAGTTCATCCTCCTAAATACATGCCTTTCCTGGCCAACGCTTGCAGCTGGCCCCGCAGGAGCATTGCCTCCATGGATCTGGAGGTCAGGGCAGTGCTGTTGAGATGTGGCACTGGGGTGTTTCTCCGAACCCTCTTGCCCTCAGAAACAGACGTTCTAATGCACTTTATCACCGCTGCTGAGGGTTTGGCACTCTTTAAGTGAGCTGGCCCAGCTAGGGACTGAGACGCTCCAGCTGCTGCGGTGAGGGTGGGCAGCCAGCCTCGTGGTGGGCACTTGCTAAGCAGTCCTAGCCCCCATTGCTCTCCCGTGGTGCCTGGCCTGATTTATCAGGCCACCTCCAAATCTACAGGAAATGTCCACTCACTGGTGTGCTGGGATTTGATGAGCCCCGAGGCAGAGCCAAGGCAGATGGAGAGTTACCTCCCTCAGGGGCAAACAACATTTGTTTCCCCTTTGCAAAAAGGAGAGACGGTCTGTGGGTCTGGCCTTTGAGCCTCAGCATCTGCTGTGCTGAAATGCTCTGTGGGTATGTTTGCACGGGAGCGTGCAGGGACTTGCAAGGGAAGGGGCGATTATCTGCCTGGAACAACAGCAGCATTTTCCCCAACAAGCGGGAGCGTGTGCGCTGGGGGAGGGGAGGATCCAGCCCTGCACAGGAATTGGCTCCCTGTGCTTGTGTGTGCACTGTAACCTCATTGACCAGCGCTGATAATAACCTTCCACGAAGCTGCTCTGACAAGTCAGGATTGTCCCCGTGGAGCTGCAAACCACCATACAGCTCCCAGCTGGACAAAATACTTTGGGGAGCGAGGCAGGTGCTGTCTGCAGAGAGGGACAGGTGGGTTACATCTCTCACATCTTGAAGCCTCCCAAGGGGCACAGGGTGGATCCATCTCTCCCTTTGCAGTGGACACTCCAAGTGGTAACCAAAGGTCCTGAACTGCTTCTCTGTGTGCAAACCTGATTCTCGTGCTGAGACTCACGCTTTTTACTCAATACAAATTTGAATGGGGATTTCCTCAGAGCAGCTCCAGGTTATCCCAGCCTGAGGTCCAAGAAGAGTCCGTTGATGGGTGGGTTTGGCTCAGGCCACCCTTGATACTTAGTTTTCAGGATAGAGGCTGCTGCAATGCAAACCACTCCTGGTCTCTCCAGCATCCAGCGCAGGCTCCACTAAGACATCTTTGGCTTTTGAGGCTGAATGATGGGTAGTCCCTGCCCTTACATGCACAGGAGGGCATC